CAATTTCATTACAAAAATAGTTACATAGATGCACAGATTATACAACAGCATTGAAAGTATACAGGCTTGCAGTAAAATAAACATCACTTGATATTTCTGCTCACAAGTTCTGATAAAGTTGATAATTACAAATTTGTCATAGAAACATTTGTTCTTTACATTACTAAAGTTTGCATAAATGAAATAAAACAGAATGATGACGATGTTTTTTTCTGGGGGACGGGGGCTCTAACACCCTCCATTGGAACAGCTTGATCGGTGTTTTGGAGCTTCTTCAAATCATTAAGAGGGCTTCTGAACTCCGAAGCGGAGCGCGAGTATTGTATGCTGATATATACTAAAGTGAGTAATGCCAATTTTGAAACTTGCATACATAAGTCCAAACTAACATATTTTTTCTAACGTAAAGGATACATATTCAAATTTTCGCTTACCTATAACGTCCAAATATCTATTTTCAAATGATTGGCGAAGAAAGAAGAGTGAAAAGAAGAAACTATAGGAAATGTGACCTTTTCAAATTGATAATTATTCTATGCTAACAACCTATCTTTCAAATTATTTTTTTTGAATCAATATGACGATAAAAAAATAAACTAAATATCTTAAATCTAGTATAATGGGCTGGAGTTTTGACCAAACACCTGAATCGTGGCATACAGACGTCAAACTATTTGCACTGCTTTTAGTGTATTTCTTTTAAAAGAGGATAAATGATTATAAAAATGGCTCACATCATCAATATAAGCGTATTTTGTTTAATAGAACTCACATTAACAGTTATTACAAATGACTGGCTGGCACAATCCACTTTAACATCATTTGCGTGGTAATGAGTATTTTCAGCGCCTCCAAAAAAAAAAAAAACATAAAAAGACAGAAGAAATACCTTTTTAAATTAGAAAAATGAAGAAAATAAAAATGATACATGTTATGTAAGAATTGCACGTGACAAAAAGTGGTACATGTTATAGATATAAATATTTTCTATATAATTCCTATTAGATTAAAATACAAACCTAATCAGTTCATAAACAGTCCCCTGGTGGGTCAGCGGTTTTCGGACTTACAAAGATCAAATCTAGGATTCGATTCCTTTGGTGGACAGAGAAAATATAGCCTATCGTGTTGATTTGTATTAAAAAAAACAATATCATTACCTTGCTCAAACTTCAGAGACATCTAACGATCTCTGTAAGAAGAAAATATTACGAAAGTCGAAGAGTAAAAAGAAATGTTTCACAGGCAACAGAAAAATGAGTGGAAACTTTGAGTTAAAATTAAAAAGAAATGCATAATTTCAAGACCTGAAAATTATAACAAAATATACAAATTGTTTTCTCATAAAATTATTTGAGAACAGCTTATAATAGAATATTTCACAATCATATGTATTACATCCGTTAGCTCTGATTGAACAGAAAACTAAGAAAATAGTATATTTCTTACAGCTTACTGAGGTACGTTTGAGCCTAAGACAATAGAAAAAACTTACTCTAAAACTAGCCTTCATCGGAATACAATTTTACTGATTGTCAAGATTACGTGTGAAAACCATATACTTGGTGGAAAGTTAAAATTCCAAGAATTTTGAAATTTCAATTTCAATAAGGAAAATGAATTGCACATCTTTACAAAAAATTTATATAACCTGAAAAATATTTGATAAAAAACTCTTGCTCCGTGATAGAAAGTACCACTTATATATATTTGAAAATTAATTGCGAGAAATTTGAAAAAATAAAATGTGGCATAATTTTTTCTGAAGTCTCTCTTTCTATATATAGATATCTGTGTGTGTGCCACCAAATCAACCAGAAAGTGTCACACTAGTACAAAGCTTATAAAAATACGGGGAGTCATACTGTGCCCAATAGTAGTAGTAGTGTAAATCCAGTCATGACTCCCGAAACTGAATCACCACACAACAAACATGTAGAAATCAAATTAGTGACTAGTCAAGGATAGTACATACGAAGATTGCAGCAAGACTCCATATTTCTTTAGTAGCTGTATGCAATATCTGAAGAGGTTACGTGAGACTGGCACTGTTAATTATAAAAGTGGTAGTGGAAGAAAACCTAAACTCTCGAAATGTGATGTTAAGTACCTTAGGGAATGCTATTTTTACGAAACAAATGATAGTCGATTACATACCTTGTTTTAAGTACAAGCGTGAATATCAACTTGAAAACAATAATACACACAAAAAAAGAAGTGATCTGAATGGACGTGTAGCTGGTGGAAAATCGCTGCTGAGAAGACATAACTAAATCAAAAGGCTATAATAGGATTCAGACCACAAAGAGTGGGTGCGTGAAGCCAGAGACGCGTCATCCTTACAGATAAGTCAAATTTCGAATTATTTGGCCACAATAAATGACAGCTTATTCGAAGACAGAAATAGGAGAATGGTATCATAGTCAAGATATAGTATCTACAGTAAAGATTCAGTGCAGGTTTTGGATTGCATCTCCTCCAACAGAGTCGTGATCTAAAGCAAAATGAAGGTACCCTAACTACCAACAAGTATAGGTAGATTTTAGTCTATCATGCCATACCCACAGAAACACAATTAATTCTTCGGGTAGGGGGATCATCTTAAAGTATGGCAATGATCCCAAGCATACAACACATGGGATGAAACAATATATTAATAGTAAAGAGGCTAAATGAACATCCAAAGTTATTAATTGGCCTGCATAAAGTCCCAATATGGCATATTTGAGACTCTGTGGATTTGTGTAATAACTGGGAAGGGCAAAAGGTTGAATTGTAATATAGGACATTTGGAACAATATTTCACAACCTGGATAAACTGGAAGGCAGCATGAAAACCACGTTTAATGCACTGTGTAAAGCAAAGGACTTTGTACTTTTTGTATTTTCTACAATACTATTTTGTAGATTAACAAATTCACCATCTAGTTGCCATTACTTGTTAGTTATGACGCCTGTATGTGTATCGTTTAGATATGATCATAATTATTGCTGTTAATGGATATATATATATATACATGTAACGAATATTTAAGTATTTTTTACTATGCAGAAATCAAATCAAATCTTGATTCATTACTACCACATTTGATCAGTTCTGAATTGAGTCGTTGCTGGAATAAACAATAAACTACTGCTGCAGAGCGAAACTGAAAGAAAAAGAATGAATATTAAATG